AGCATATTTGTTACTTACCCAGTCTGCTAGTTTGCCAATAAACCAATGTGTGCAGCACTACATTAATTCATCCGAATATCTAAGCATGTTGCTCACTGAGTCAGATATTTCTTGCCTCAAATACTGTTGAAAAGTAAATATCTTTGTAAGCCTAAATTAACTCCTTTGGGCTTTTAAGAAGTCCAGGATTGCTTAGTAAACTGCTTTGCCAAATGAAAACAAGAAATCCCTTTGCACTGGTAATATCCAGAACCGATGAGCAATGAATAGGAAGCTCAGTAAAACACGAGCTAGAACTCAGAGTTAAAGATTCCAGCAAAGATCCACAGTCTATGGAAATCTCAGTTTTGAAAAGAATAAACTAAAAAAGAAATGAACAGTATCAGAAGCAGCAAAGAGGAATATAAAATGGTGGGTTTGGGGTAACAAAGATACGATCCTTTTTTCTTATATTTAATAAGTTGGAAGGTTAAAGCCAGCTAAGTCTGTAGGAAAATATGTCAGAGAGATAACTAAGAAAGTTAACCTCAGTATGAAATTGTTCCGAGGAAGTGACCTAGAATTGAGAGTAAGGATTCTGAATTCCCAACAGAAATCAGATTGCCTATCCTCAATATTCTATATTTTTCTTAGTAGCAAACACAATTCTCAAGAAAAGAAACTTGATTTCTTCACAATTTAGAGTGCCCAACATAGAAGAGTAAAGTCAAAACAATGTCCACTACCCCTAAGTGTTGTAATTGAATGGTGTTGAATTGTGTGTGTTGTGCAATGTTTTACTCAAAATGTCAAAATGATGCTTTTTGTAAAATTGAGCACCAGGTTCAACTGATAGATTGAATGCAATTTACATCAGGTAGGTTTATCAGAAATTAAGTAACATGAATAAAACTACTATGAACCTTACCCGTTACCCTTAACACCTCTTACTTTTTCTTTTTTTTCCCATTTTTTAACCACAAAGTTATTTTCTTTTTTTCATTATGAATGAAGTCTTCTAATAAATAAGAAAACAGCAATTTAGAAAATTATAAAGAATGGAAAAACAAACCCACCCAAAGTCCAACACCCAGAAGCAAAGTGACTCACCACTGATATCATTTCTCATTTTCTTCCAGGCCTTTAAAATGCATTTTTATCCTTTTATATACCACTTATTTCTGGTTTGAAATTTATATAATTTTTAGCAAAAGCATTTCCCCAAGCTATTGGCAACTTTTTGGATACATTTTAATGATTCTATAATGATATACAATTTACGGAGTTAGTCATCTAATGAACATTTAGTGTGTTTTGTCTTTTTTTTCCTTCATTCCTGCCAATCAGGCTTCAATGAATGTCTTTATTATTTACCCCTCTCTGGCATCTAGCAGAGAATGCATTCCCAGAGTAACACCCCTCTGGTTTTGTTTCAGTAAGAACATGGTGACTATATAAAACCAGCATTTATTCTTTCCATTTAGCACACACTCTCTACTTTGTTTAATGCAATGGCATTATTAAAATATTGCAGTGTTTTTGCTGTAAACATAAGAAGAAGCAATAAAATATGACAGGTCATCAGATATGCTCTAAAAATGTCTATGGCTTACTATTCCTTGGAAATTCCTTGTTACCATAGGAAGGAGATAAATCTTGGTATGAAATCAATTCTACTAGAATTCACCCATGTGAGCCTACCGTAAAAAGAATTGTCTTACTACCCACTACTAACAACATGGCACAGAAACAGCTGAATGAAGGCGTGTTTGAGAACACAAACTAGCATTTGACAGACACCGTCATCTTAAGAAACAAGCAGAGCTACTGTCTTGAACATTAATGGATTGGGGCTCTTCATTCTTCTGGAAATTCTAAATAAATCTCCTTATGAACCTCTGAGCCATTCTGAGGAAAACAGAAAAACAAAGTGATCTTTAATGTCTTTCTCAAGTCTGAAGTTCTATAAAAACACTAAAATTACAAAACAACGTGTATTTTCATGACCAAAAAGTTTGCAGCAGTATTATTACAAACGTCTAAGCTATCTAATTCTGCATAAATTTTCAAGTGTTATTGGTTTCACCTCAATATCCTTCACATCTGTTCTTTTCTGCCTCCCTCCCAGGCTCTGTTGTTAGGTACTGTTTTTTAGCTTACAATGCAAATATAGATATACAGATTTTTAAATATAAATTCACCTCTGTACTAATATTTATACATTTTTAAATGACACAAAAATAAATAACAAAGTTTAGGATTAAATATAAATACAAATAGAAGTTCAAATATCTCTTCTTGCTGTTCACCCACCCCCTGGGATGGCCTTGCACACCCCTTGGGTTGTGTGCCCCACTCAACATCTGGGCCAGACTGTAGTTATAAGGCAAACTGGACTCCTTGCCTCCCTTTCATATTATTTCTGTCCAATCTCAGCTCACCTGTCAGTGACCTTTTCAAAGAGTAAATCCTACCATGTTACTCACCTTCTTAAAATTCTTCTTTGCAAGTTGATAAAAATGTAAGGAGAACTTCTTTAATTATTGCATCATGCCTTTCATTTTTTAGTCTCATTTTCCTCATTAATGACCTACCTTTCAGTCAAAAGGTATTTTGAAGGTATTTTGAAACTGAATAGCATACTCTGCACACTTTTAATTTTTATTGCAAACTCTGTTTCCTAAGCAGAAAGTTCTTTCTTTACCTGCCTTTTCTATTTATATTTAAAAATTTAAATTTAGCTCAGATATACTCTCCTTTATGAAATATTACTAATACCTTTTGCCAGTTCCCCATTTCCCCTATATCAACTATTTTATTATAATTTAATTAATTATTTATTGTTTGAATCTACCTCTTAATTGAGCTCCTAGAGAGTAGCAGTCTGATATAGTTTTGGTCTCTACTGCAACCTTACATGTTGATGGCAGTTGGATCAGTGCCTAGCACATAGCAATAAATATTTGTGGAATATATGAATGAATGTCTAGGAGCCACACCAAAACTACTGCAAAACACTTTACATATTCCATTTGGTGGCAAATATTACTTTAATAAAAGATTCACCAAAGTATGGAAATATATATCCAAGGTCAAATATTCAGGGCCATAGAATGATATCTTGAATTTAAAATTATGTAGCAAAATGATTGATGGAACTGGTAAAAGTTCCAGTTTGGAATATTCATTCCACTATCCCTCTGTACAGCAACCCCTACTACTATTTAAAGGAGAACTGTATTATGAAAGTTATTTACATTGAACTTTGACATGTGATAACTGGATAAAGTCAAAAAATTTCAATTAACTGATTTTGCATTTGATTTTTAATAGACTTTAGCATCTTTAAGAGGCTTATTTCTATTCTTACTCCATTTTGAACATTATTAAAATTATGAATTACTATTGTGTTATAAAATTCTCATTCAGCACTTATTAATATGATGATTTTTATCCTGCTAATTTTGATGCAGTTACATTGACTCATTACCTAATATTTAAACATCTTTACACTTCTGTACCAAAGTTTCCCTGTCAATGGCATTATTCTTCAGATAATAATATTTTATATATGCTAAAATTTTATCTGGGCATTTTGCATTCATCTTCATAAGAGTAAAGGGTTTCCAATATGCACATCTAAATATTGAGCCATGTAACTCTTTATTATGTTTTAGAAATCACTTGAAATATGATTGAATCAAATTTATCTCAGAGACTATATTTGGGTATGGACATTCTAGCAGTTCTGTCAAATAAGGAATTACGACAGCTACCGTTTATCAAATGTTTACTTTGTTCCAGTGAATCTCAAATGCTTTATTATGTATTAACTTACTTAAAACCTAGGAGACAGAAATTATTATTAACTCTATTGTAGTGGCACCCCCTCCTCCACAAAAAAAATCTTAACTAAGTTTCTCCTGAAATCTTCAACATAATTGATTTTAAGACTATAAGCAAAAGAGTCTGTACAAAATAGTTTGATGTAGTTAAACTTCCTATTTTCCTGTTGCTCTATTACTTGGCCAGTGGCTGGGAAGAAATCAGCACTCCAGGTGCTAAACTCTTCTTTACTTGTTTTTCACAAACATGTATCCAGTATAGTAGTTTGTAGAGGTGTGTTTGTAAATGCAAAATGTGATAAAAAAAAAAAAAAAGAAAAATCCTTTAGCAAGGCCTCTAGCCTTGAGCTGATGCTTCACAGAGATGTCTATATTTCTAAGATAAGAGAAGTTACCAATTGGGCTCCATGGAAACAGCTGGCGGGGAGGGGAAAAAAGGGGAGAAGAAGCTGTGCTCTTCTCAGATGTTGTTCTTGAAGGGTTAACTTGCCCAGAACAATGAAAGAAAAAGCTGCTTTTATGTGAACTTCTGAACCCCTCCCCTTACATGCTGGGTATAAAATTCTGAAACTACCTGAACTCAAGATTTAGGGGATTAACTGATTACAGCAAAAGCTGTGCCCTTTGAATCTGGCTGCAGCCAAATAAAACTGTTTCCTGCTATCTTCAGTGCCTTGCCTCATCTGTCCCTACAACACTGTCTTGGGGCAGAAAAGCTATAACACAGAGATGTAAAGTACCCAGAGTCCCAGAGATGGTAAATTGTAGATGCAGGATTGGAATTCAAAAATTAGGCCCCAAAGATTATATTCTTCATCATTATATATTATCTCTCCAGTATGTTACAGAGAGGGACATAAATTCCAGGAGTTAGTTTTTCAAAGACAAAATCTGATATATTCACTCTTAATAACCTATGACTATTTAAACAATGTAGAATTTTAAATAGCATTATACTAAATACATGCTATTTATTAATTAATAACAGATTTTAGAATGATTGTTATTTAACTGTTAAAAATTTTAAATGGAAGGCTGAAAGTATAGCTTGATAGTAGAACAATGTCTATCATGAGCAAGGCCCTAGATTCAATCCCCAGCATCACACAGAAAAAGAAAATGTATAAGAAAAATATTGCCAAAGTAATAACACCTTTTTTCTTTTCATCTTTTCAGCAATCTTGACACAGAGGAGCTATGTGGTAAGTTTCTTTTAGACCAATCAAGCCCATTACTTGTTTTAGAAGTGAAAAATTTTTCTGGTGTATGTCTATACACCTTTGAATTAATGTTATAGATTAGGAATTCTGCTACAAATAAAAGATAAATCAAAGATCTCAAGGGATTTTTCCTGTATCCATGAGTTTCTCTCAAGTGTGCATTCCACTGCAGAAAGATTTGGGCTTCTTTAATTTGTTCATGGAAGGAGAATTGTTATTGTAATCAGTGCATTAGTTTCACAAGAGCTAAGTCTCCACTAGTTTGAATATATCTTTAAATTGGTGTTTAATACAACCTCATTATTCTCTTCACAATATAACGTGCAGAGCCTTTTGTTACTGTTTTGCAAAGCTGTCTCCTTGAAAAGTAAAAATAACTTTGTCCCATACCTGCCTAAACTGTTCTAGAATTTTAAATGTCACTCAGAAAACAAATGATTCAAATGGGAGAGATGAATCTTTACAAATGCCTGGTTTAATGGCCTCTTCATTTATTTTCTTCATCTTTGTAGTTGAAAACAAAAGTCAAAAATTAGAAATGTGCAAAAGTAAATATATCTCAAATTTATTCTTTGTTGCAGAGCAATTATGGAACATTATATTTGAAACAGTCTTATCTCTTTGACTACTGGAAGGGCAGAAACTTTACACTTTAAGATAAATGGATGAGATAATCTTTGTCCATGTTTGGGATTATTGTCTAGGCAGCCTGGGACTTCTTGGTGGTTAGAAGTGAATTTTTCTGGAAATTCTAACTGAAATCACAAGTACTTCCAGAGTCATAATTCTTACAATTTTAGAGTTTATCAAAACCTTCAAAAAGCATTTTATAATTGAAAAGAGGTTCTCTTCCATTTTAGCAAAGTAGTTGAGCAACACTAAGATGGGTGATGCTGGGATAAAGTGTTAAAATGCAGGATTTCGGGACCATAACTGAAAAAAAAACAAGACCACAATCACCAACTATGAACTCACTTAAAACCTAAGAAACAAATTATTATTAACCCTGTCTTGGGGCAGAAAAACTATGCCACAGAGACGTAAAGTTCCCAGAGTCACAGAGAAGGTAAAATGTAGATACAGCTTATATTTGTCGTTATTATGCATTATCTCTCCAGTATGTTACAGAGAGAAACATAAATTCCAGGAATTATTTTTTCAAAGACAGAATTTGATATAATCATTATTAATAACCTATGACTATTTAAACAATGCAGAACTTTAAATAGTCATTTTCCAATAGTCATTTAATAAGAAATTGAAAAAACAAACAACCAACTGTGCTCCTTGTAGGGAGCACATATTGTCCATCCCAGGTTCAGGGAGAGGAATCCAACTGAAAAAGCAAGATAGGGATAAACAGATGCAAGGTACTTTGCTTTTGTTAGTCATGAAACATCAGCAGAGAATATCTTACCATGTGTTCATACCTGATGGGGCAGTGGCCCCGTTCACACACAATAATACAGTGCCAAGGGGGTAGAAAGGCCCTGTGGACCATACCACCAGCTTCATGTTGAACAGCAATCATCATAGAGGTAAGTCGTGGTTCACTCTCATCTATGTGTATAAAAAACTCCTATCAGGGAAATAAAGTTGAGAACTGAGAAAATTATCTTGATAATTACACAAAGGTATGGGACACATTTGTTCTGACTATCTAGATATGTCAGACCAAAGTAATCATTTCCTCAAGTCATTCAGCTAATTTATTTTATTTTCCATTTAACTTTTTCTGATTAACACAGCTGAGAAAACAGATTGTTACAGGGAACTTTAAGATAAAGACATTTAGTGTCTCTTCTTTATTTGCTATCTTGCATTGTCATTAAGGAATATTCCATTAAACTCTATCTTCCTTTAAAAATACTACAAATTTTAAAACATGGTAGTGTATCTTCACTTAATCACCACAAATTTTTTTATTAATTTTCTTTTTCCATAATAAAGAACCTACGAAAAAGACTATGATTTTATCCTCGTAGTTCTAGTTAAGAAACTAGTAGATGAGGTCTAATTCAACAGAGTTGCTCTATATTTTTAAAATCCAGTGTGATTGTATTCCCAATCATGTTATAATCCTCCCCCTCTCTGTTCAAGAATATGCATTTTAATTTCCAGAGTGTAGTTTCATTTCTCATTATTTTGTGAATATAAAGTAAATATTTAAGTTGGATTCTAATCAAAGCCAAATGCTTCAGTGCTAGCAAGTGAAATATGTAGATTCACACCCTGCACAAGTTCCCTCATGTGCGTGGGAGGGGGAATGCTTGATTGGCACAGAAAGGAGATTTCATGTACTTTCTTCTAGAAGCCAATTAAAAATTCCAGGTATCTAAGACTTTCAATTTGTTGCTTTTGCTTAATTTGTCAGCTTACTCAATTATGTGCCCAGAAATAAAAATCTATTAAAATATTGATTAAAAAAATTATTTTTGTGATTTTAATTATGAAAGTAATATTTAACTACTATTGAAAATTTTTTAACAATACAGAATCACGTAGGTGTTTAAATTAAAATGTCAGTTTCTCTTCCCCCATTCTGATCTGTTCTAACTGCTTTGAACATATTCTTCAAAATGTTTTTATGCATATGTTGACATTGATAGGTATGTATATATTATTGTTTTTCAGCAGCAAGATCATATTATATGATAGGTACAACTGCACACTGTTCTACCTCATTTTATTAAAAAATTTACATAGAATCTCATTTACATTATTATATATTTTTTTTTTGCCCTTTAATGGATTAAATTCCTTTTTAATGGATTTTCAGATTGTTTCCAACTCTTCACTGGAACAAACAGCATTGAAGTAACTATTTCCATATGTATTATCTTTGCTCTTTTGTTCAAGAAGTTTTGTATGTTGGATTCCTCAAATTGTAATTTCCTAATTAAGCTTTTTCCGACATACACACCCACTGTCAGTCCATAGGAGTGCCAAGATTATTCTCTCTTCACATATAATTACAAAGTCCTTCCTGAAAGCATCTTCTGGCCTTTTCTTACCACTATTGGTCAATAAGCAAATGGTTTTTACTTAGAATTTTGAATTCTAGCATTGAGGCTTTGGTTTTATATTCATGCCATCTTTAGTTCTGATCTGAACAATTGAGAGCATGATCACTACTTTCCCAGTCCTACCAAGTTCATGACTATTTTCATAACCCTTCTCACTTTGACTGAACCCTTTTGCAAATCTTGAACTTGGTAGCTAAGAATTTTGAGATATTTATAGATGAGGGAAGAATACTTGCAAAGAAAGTTCACATAGCTAGAGTACTCTGTCTGAAAGCATCCATAAGAAAGCTTTGTGGCCAAGGTAGAATATATTTAATAGTGTGTTGTTGGTTGTTACCTACTAAATATTAAACTATTTTGAAAGATAGATGATGTCTATAAATAATATTATAAAAACCGATGATATAGGAAACTCCCAGAATAAAAGATGACTAGTTTCATGGGCAATATTCTTTTTAGTGGTGATGTGCTAGGCACCTTTGGTCACACCACAGTGCTGGGCACCCCTGGTTATACTGCAGAATTGCAGTGCTGAGAGACCTATGCCAGTGATCCTGGGTGCTGGGAAACAGAGGACTGTTTGTCCTCTTCCATGCTGTTAGAGCTGTGTCTACCTGGCAGGTGCCACTAGGTGATTGAATCATAGAACACATTGAGTGACACTGATCTGCACCTCCTCAAAATAACCCTTATTCTGAATTGCTAACAAATGCCTCTTTTCAGATCACTGGGGTTTTAACTCCCTGTCATCTCAGTTATTTTCTCTTCTCTAAAGTCTACTACTTCAGATGTTCTAACAAGGCTCTGTGGCATTTATTTAAATTCTTGAAAATGCTCTGTGAGCCCCATTGCCTGTACAACCTTTGTGGCAGCCATGGGTCCTTTGGTTCTGATTTGCAGTTCTCAGGCCAAACCTGAAAACTTAACAATTTGGAGGATCGAGGTACAGAATAAAACAAAAAATAAATAAATAAAACCTGTCATTTGATGACACAACACCCTGATTAAGTGCAGTAGGGAAGGGAGAAACTAACCTCTCATTAACATTTTGTTAGATAAGATGTCTCATTGAATATGCATGAGAAGATAATTTGCTTTCTGACAGTTAACTTGTTTAATATCTCTGTTTATAAATTGTACTCTACTGTTTCATTACAACCAAAGTCCAGACTCTTTTTACTTTCCAAAGATTTTTTTTTTCACTTAAACTGATGAGGTCTGAATCTTGTACATTTCCATTAAGTGCAATATGACTGTTGAATCCAGGTCCATAATGGGAACCCACGTACAGATTTCCATAAAAGTAGATCTTTTTTGCGAGGAAGTTATTGTTACCCAAAGGCAATAGTTCCAAGGAACCAATATTTGTTCCAAGTTTTTATTTCTCTCTAATGCCATGATTTAAGGACAAAACACATTTGCCCAGCTCACGCTGCCACCATGATTCATATGAAAAACCTGAGGCACAATAACAAGAATAAACCACTAGTTCAAGTTCAGCATTCCAAAGCCACCTCTAACCTCCTCTCCCTGCTTGCCACATTTTATATGCACAGAGAGACTACTGAAGTTCTAAATCACTACCCTTCTTTTACCCCACAGCATGGCCCTGGTCCTTGTCCTATGATGAAATTGCTCCTGGCAATCACTGCTGCTCTTGTCTCTCTTGATGGTGTCACCAACATTCCCTAAATCATCCACATTGCATTCAGGGTAAATATTTCTAAAATGACAATCACTGTCCTTTTCAAAATTACTCCATGGCTTCCCAATACCCATAATGGTCTCAAATTTAATCTACACATCATAATCTCCTAGGAACCCCAAGATTCTGATTTAGTAGATGAGACCTTATAAGTGATCATAATTCCCAACAAGTATCCTAGAGCAGTGCTTCTCAAACTTAAATGTACCTACAAATAACTTATTAAAATGGGGATTGTAGCCTGGAGCAGTGGTGAGGACCAGCACTCCAACAGTCCCAGCTACTTGGGAGATGAGAAAGGAAGATCATTGAGCCCAGGAGTTTGAGACTAGCCTGGAAAACATAGTGAGATGCTATCTGAATTTATTTAATTAATCAATCGATTAATTAATTAGTTCATTCTAATTAGTTAAATTTAATTAATTATTTTTTAAGAGCACATTATGATCTAGCCAGTCTGGGGTCGACCTGAGATGTTATGTTCCAGTAAGAACTAACATGAAACTGCTAGTCTACAGACCACACTTCGAACAGTCAGGACACTAGAGGATTCTGATGCAGATGGTCAAAAATACTAACCTAGACCCGAGAATAAAGTTAGAGCACCTTGTAAGGAATGGTTCCAGAACATCTGGCTTCCTTTCTCACCACTGATTTTTAGTATCTTGCTGTCTCCCATCCTCAAATACCTCCTAGTCATGCCCTTCATGGCCTAGTAATGCTGAAATACATATATTCCAGCCAACATGACAAGATATCACCTACTTCCTTTCCTCCTCTCTGGTTGCCCAACAGGTTAAGTCCTATTTAGCTATTATTTAGCCATTGTTGATCTCCCTCTTAGGACATCCTCTCCAACTTACCCAGGTAGACTCAGGCATTCTTTGCCTTCTATTCAGATTATATCTTATACCTGGACTCTGAATCATCACCTTGAACATCGATCATGTATATTTCAGTTAATATTCATTTTCCATACCTGTTGTGTACTCTCCCCAAAGGTAGAGACTCTGTCTGTTCATCTTCATATTCAAACTCCTTCTACAGCCCCTGGCACATAAGAGATACTGAATAAATGTGTTAGGTTTTGAAATGAGTAAATGAATGCTAACCATAATAAAGTGGAAGGGAATTATCTCCTTGTACCTATGTTAGAGGTCTCTGACTCTATCATCTAACTTCCCTCTTATTATCGCATTGGCATATGTCCCTCAGTGAGGAAGCTATCAAAGAGCTGGAGTGACACTAAGCTGCATCCGTCAAAATAACCCTGACCCTTAGATTTCTAGTTTATACTGCAATCCAGTACAATTGGGTACTGTAGTTCTTTCCCTTCTCAGAATTACGCTCTTTGCTTCCTAGTACATTGCTTGAGAAATTGCTGTTTTCTCTCTAACTACTTGAAGATTTGAGATGAGCAAGTAGATGAAGTTGAGATAGGAGTTAACTTCAAAGCTATGAGTCATTATTTTTCTTGTGTACTCTATCAGCGTGGGTCAGCATGTGCCCGCATACATAGGATTTCCAAGTGGAAAGACAACTTAAATTCTCTGCAGAACTTTAGCTGACTAGTAAACTTGTCTTATGTAGGGAAGAAATATTTATTTGAAAAGGTGGCATTACCTCTTGTTTTATTTTTATGACTTCTTTAGCATTGAATTCTCCTTTCCACTTTATAAATCTCTGTGAGTTGCATTTAAAACTGCTATATAATTCTCTTTGAGATTGTGTATATATTAAAATAAAAACATTAACTTGCCCTTTTGTATCTTTCTTTACACTTTTTGCTTGCTTCAACTTATTATAGACTCTGTTCTGATATTTATTATTTTTCCAACTGATGAATATCCTGCAACCACATTAACCTCATGTTGGTTCCCAAGAGTGTTGTCCACTGGGACTTCATTTATTACAAATAATTGCACAGACAAGGTTAGACATCTTTGTCAACTCTATCAGAAAGTCAACACCATAACCAGGAATTAAAATGCTATTTGAAGCAGGCATTTGAGGAGTATTTTCTTATTTAGAATCCAACTTTACCCTTTCTAAAAAAGAATCTTTTTTAAGAAATGCATCAATATGGTTTTTAAGTATTTTATAATCAAAAATGCATTTTGTAGGCTTGGGGTTGTGGCTCAGTGGTACACTGCTCGTCTAGCACACATGAGGCACTGACCTCAGCACTACATAAAAATGAAATAAAGATATTGTGTCCAACTACAACTAAAAAATAAATATTGAAAAAATAATGCATTTTGCTTTCAGCAAAAATCTACCATTGGCTTTTAATCTATGTGTGCACAGACTATATTTTGACAACTTTAATCTAGAATTTATTCATTGCTTACCTGTGTTTTCATTCTTTTCAGAGAAGTCTTCACATTGACTAGTAAATTTGTCAAAGGCACTATTTATTATTAATATCAGTGTCAACGAATAATTCCATTTGGAGCATTAAATAGATTAATCAAGGAAGTTTCTATCAAACATACTGAAGTGTATCCCTGTGATCTCAGGTGGCTTAAAGGTTTCTTTTTTATCTTTTTCAGTTTAATTTCATAAGTACTTACCACACATTAGAGGGAGACAATAAAGCCAGGCACAGTGGTGCACGCCTGTGATCCCAGAGTGCAGGAGGCTGAGGCAGGAGGATCTCAAGTTCAAAGCTAATTGCAGCTACTTAGATCTCAACTTAGCCTCAACAATCTTGTCTTAAAATAAAAAATAAAAAAGGGCTGGGGATGTGGCTTAGTGATTAAGTGCCCCTGGATTTAGTCCCTAGTACCAAAATAAATAAATAAAGAGAAACAATAAACTATGCTTCCATCCAAAGATGAGCTGTCGAGGGTTATTGATTTTCTATTAGCTGGAATAACCAGGATTTTTTCAATATGTAGTTTTCTGTTAGGTTTAGATCTCTCATTTTAGAAATGTATAGATCTCCAAAAGTAAATATGACGTTCTGCATTTATCTTTATATTTAATCTGTGTTCCATTCTTTTCATTTTAATCACAATATCCAACACACGTTTTATTCCTAGTAACTGAAAAATGTCATAAACATGACTCTGATCTTTGAAAAAGATTGTTTGGAAAAAAAAATTCACAAAGTGCCAGGAGCAGTTTCAAAACAGTGCCAGAGGAGGCCTCCCTCAGGTTTTGAGGCATCATTGATTCTTTGCCTTGAAGAGAGCTTAGCTTCCTTGAAGGTTTCCCAGAAGAAAGAATAAAATATAGCTTAACTTTGTTCTAAAATTAACTATCCCAGTGAAATCTATAATAATATACTGTTGAGAACATTTTTTTTATTAAAACAACCCTGTCAGTAAATCCAGATTCATTTTTTCCTATTTTTATAGGAAGGAACATTGCTTCACAGAAAATGGTAACCATCCAGTTGTATTTATCTTCTCCTTTTTTAAAAATGAATTTAGTATATCAATCGCTTAGTCTCATTTGAAAACCTTCCAGTTTTCCTCTAGAGCCAACGTTTTGTTTTACTAGTTTGTGAAGAAAATTATCTTTTGATTTTTTTGTTTTATCATCACCTGAACTCAAACCTGAATGTATTTCAATATTTTCACTTTTCAGAATATTTTTCTCAGCACTTGGGCGAGTATGAGAACGTGCTAGCAGCACTGGAAGACCTGAATCTCTCCATCCTGAAGGCAATGGGAAAAACAAAGAAAGTAAGGAAATGCTGGTGTTTGTTTTCTATAAAAATCTTTTCTTTGAAAAATATTTTTCTTGAAAAATCATACCTATTTCTTAGCATGTCATGAAAGATAGATTTCTTTTTTTTTTTTTTTTTTATCATTAGGGACTTAATTTTCTTGATATTAAATGATCTATTTACTATTGTATAATTATAAACAAACTCTGTGCCAGAGACTCTGCTTTGTGCTGAGGATACAAAAATACAAAAAGTTATTTAGGCAGCTCTTAGTCTGGTGGGGACACATATGTGTAGATAAATAATTACATGATCGTGTAGCAGAGAGGAGCACAAGATGGGACACCCAATTCACGCTGAAAGCATGGCACCTGTGGATGCAGAGATAAAGGAAATAGTATAGCTAGACAAAGGAGAACTAGATATGGAATAGCATGTGCCGAGACTCTGTATACAGGGCACTCAAGAAAATGAAAATGGACAAAAGACTGAATTAAAGAAAGCCAAAGGCTGGCTCCAGGTGAGGTGAAACTGGAGTGGGAAGGGGACACACCTTTCATGATGTTAACAAAGCTAAGGATTTAAGCCTTTATCCTGGATGCAAAAAACAAAAACAAAACAAAAATAGTGAATATTTTAAGCAGAGAGATGAAAACTCATGAAATCTTTCAAAAAGACCATAGAAGAATTAGTTTAGGATTGGGGTGAGTATATTGGAGGATACAATCATGTAGATGAGTAAGGAGGTTAGTTCACTAGTCCAGGTGAAAGATGTCATTTGGAGATTCTAGAAGAAGATATGGGGAACAGAGAGCAAATTGCACACATATTTGACAAAACAGAACTTGGAGGAGGACTGAAGCTGGAGGATGAGAGAAATATGTGTCTAGGAGGCATCCTAGTTTTTAGCTTGTGTACCAGAGTCATGACTCTACCCTGGGATTACTGAGAGTGGACCAGGTATGAGGAGGTAAGATAATTAGTTCTCTTTTAGACATATTGAGTCTAAATTCCCTTAGAGACATCTGAGGAGAGTCAAATAAACCTGTGGCTACAGAAATCTAGATCTCATAGGTGAGTTCTAGACTTGGAGATATGAATTTATGAATTGCCAATACTTGAGCAAAGAACTTGAATAATATTATCAAGAGAGAAAATAAAAAGTACAGTGAGGAGAGAATATAACACTATGTCATAAGAAACTTGACATTTGGGTGGTGGGAGGAGAAGAAAGAGCCAGGAAGAGAGTCAGAATTGGGCAGAAAGATGTAAGGAAAGCCCAGAAGATATAGTGTCCAGAAGTTGAAGAAGAGAATATTTCAAGAAGTAGAGAGTAGTCAATAGTGTTGATCACTATGTAGAGATTAAGAGAAATAAAAATTAGAATTCCTATTGTCAGTGAATCAAGTAACATTTTAGCATATAAGATGCATGACAGGGCTGGGATTGTGGCTCATCGGTAGAGGGCTCGCCTAGTACGGGCGGGACCCAGGTTCAATCCTCAGCACCACATAAAAATAAAGGTATTGTGTTGTGTCCATCTACACCTAAAAAAATAAATATTAAAAAAAGATGCATGACAAATATAAATTTTTAAAGCATGTAAGGAATTTCTGGATAAAGACAACAGATTTATACATCCATTGAATTCTGCTTGTTTCTAAACCTCATAAAAAAAAAGACTGGAATGAGATTATTTAAATGGGCAAGGGTATAGTAACAAAATTTAGGAACTGAAAAGCAGATGGGCAAGTGGTAGCTGAAAGAAGACTTGAGACATTGAATTCTTGGCCTGCAGTGGCAAACAGAAAGTCACTAGCTTGTCTCATGAGACGGCTCAGGAATCAGTGGCACTAGTAGTCACCAGAAGAGGAGGGTATAGGGTAAAGTGAAATAATCTGCTAGGAGCCTGAGCAAGAAGCAATTAGACCCCCAGATCCCCTCTTCTACTCCACCCAGCTGATCAATGGCCTCTTTGTCAACCCAGGTTGAAAACAGATGTGTTTCTGAAAAGAGTAAAAGAGGTCTCTGTTCTGGGGCAATATCAGACACAGTTGAAGGATTCAGTAAAAGTTTATGCAGTAAATAAAAAGGTCTCCAGCTCTCTTCTCCTATTAAACTCCCAGAGCTTTGACAGTACATCCTTCAGGCAGACAGGAAGATTCTTCTTTCAGAAATCCTAACAGCACAAAAGGGGAAAAAAACATCTACAGATTCTCCTTTGATGAGAGCCTGGCCAGATCTCACTCTCCTTCTTTCTAGTACTGATCAACCAGTTCCTAGCCCACCTACCATTAAATTCACATAATCAGGCCACGAGGGGCAAAGACCAAACATGAACAAACAAGGAAAGAAAGAAGAAAAGAAGGGAGGGAGGAAGGGAGGGACAGAGGAAGGAGTTGACATAGGGGATTGTGTGGGAAGACGAATACTGGAGATAATTTTAGAAAATAAAGTTTAGAACATCTCCCAAAATATACAGCAAAACAGAAAATTGAGGCCTGAGCCTAGGATGCCCTGTACCCAAACACTAAATTGCAGAAAGGAAGAAAAAAAGAAAGAAAAGTAAAATCAGAATTAATTTCCTTTTGACTTCTTCAAGAATTTGAAAATTGCATGATTAACTTCATATCATGAGAATTTCTCTCCAGGAAGGTCATTTTAAAAACCCCTTCCTGGGGTGGCTTCTCCCCATTCTTTAAGTCTTATCTTGAATACCATGGCCTCAGAAACGTTTTCTCTGCCCATCCTACCTACAAAGTTTATCCCTCTGGGAGTATCTCATTTGTTTCCTGCTGGTGATTATTAGAATGAGTAAGTACACAGTTTATTTATTCTTTATAGGGAGAGAGAAGAACAGTGTCACTTCTTGCTTAAAACATTTACCCTCAGCCTGTCACAGACCTGACAAAAGTCTTCAAAATTTTATTGATAAGTTAAATAAATTTATATTCATTGAATGAATACTCATGCAACACCCAAAGCTAAATATTTTTGCTCCTTCAAGAAAAATCTCCCCTAAGTCCATTTATGAAACTAAGATTTCTTTTAATATGAAAGAAGGCAAATATGTGGTTTTCCTTATTTTCTCACAGATGTGCTCTAAAATCATGTCATTTCCCTTGTATGAATACAATGAGGCTTTGTGGAATTAAAATTGAGGTCAACCTGTTATTTTGATCTCTTAAACTATTTAAAAAAATTTGGGGGGGGTATTGATGCCTAGAAATGCATTTGATTTGTATCACCTTACTGCTTAATTAAGCTTAATTAAAGAAAACATGTATCTTTGATTTTTTTCAAAAAAAAAAAAAAAGAAAAGGAAATGGTAGCGAATAAGATTAGAAAGGGTCCCTCAGTCCGATGCTCAAAGATGAACTACATGCAGGAACTGTGACATTTTTCAAGCTGCTGGTGCTCTGTGGCCTTCTCTGTGCTGTCCAGACAATGAAGCCTTCTGAGTGAGAAAGTTTCTTTTCGAGAATCTCGGTATATTTTTACCCAGATGAAAAGTCCTGTCTCAGCAGGAAGAGCTGCCTATTCCAAGCTTTTATGAAAAATGGAATACAAGCCATTTGTGGTCTCTTTTGACTGGCAGTACATCTGTTTGCTGTGTCAGAGAACAGATTAAAAGGGTTTCAACCACTCAACCAAAACCCCAGGAGGTGACTCAGGACAGACATAACATGCCATCATTTCCCTTCTCCTCCTTCTGAATCCAAGACTTTCAACACATCCTCAAGGGCTGCCTTGATTATTTTACTTTGCTTACTTTTCTGCAACAAATATCATAGATTAAATTCCAAATGATGATTTGAAAGTTCTGAAAGTGGTTAAAACTAGACCCTTCAATCAAACTTCAGATTCTCTCTCTCTCTCTCTCTCTCTCTCTCTCTCTCTCTCTCTCTCACACACACACACACACACACACACACACACACGCACACACCCATTAGGTTTTTCCATTTTTCTTTCTACATAGTGAGTGATAAATGGACTTACATAGTATGTGAGGTGATTATAACCCAAAACAAAGGTAGAATTCTGGTGCTAAAGATAAAGTTCATTATGTGCTATGCTATATGTAAACATACATGGAATTTTCCTGTTTATTGGTAAAACGGAACAGGAGATCATTATAACTTCAGTGAAGAATGGTGTTCTTTAAATACTCATTTAGGGTTCAGGAGTCACTTGACTGAGTATAGCCATGAAAACTTCCAAAATTAAAATGGGTGTATATGTATAGTTTTTATCTAAAAGTTATTTTGCAAACAGGCGTATCTTGCAATCCATCTTCCTTGATAGCAAGGGAAGAAAAGGCCAGATCTATAGCACAGCTGGGCCTCTATTATCACTCTCCCTCTCTGGGATCCTTGTGATTTCTTGGGCTGGCACTTCTAGTTCTTCACCTCAACCTCCCATCCCTCCTCCACCACTGTTTCCTTGGGTTTGGCATCCAGGCCTCCCTGGATTCCATAGGCCTTTCATTATGTAAATGTTACAATAGTTTATCTTATGACTTTTACTAAAAAAAAAAGAAGAAGAAGAAATACTGGTAGGTCTTAGTACTTCTCTATGGGGAAAATATCATTAACTGCTAAAGTTTATATAGGATTTATCATGAAAAATGTCTCTTCTTTCAGGTGAAATATCAGAGCCAAAATGGCATCGTGTGAAAGAATGAAATGCCCTCTTAGGCTTAGAAGACAGGTATTTTCATTCTTATAGTTTCATTATGACCTTTAGTTTCATTACAAGTGTTCATCAAAAATAAAAGGGAAGAGCTGGGAGTGGGGGCACACGCCTGTAATCCCAGTGGCTCAGGAGGTTGAGGCAGGAGAATTGAGAGTTCAAAGCCAGCCTCAGTGAAAAGCGATATGCTAAGCAACTCAGTGAGACCTGGTCCCTAAATGAAATACAAAAATAGGGCTGGGGATGTGGCTCAGTGGTTGAGTGCCCCTGAGCTCAATCCCAGGTAACAAAAATAAATTTTAAAAAAAGAAATAAAATAAA